TCTGCACCTGGATAAATCCCCCCAATGCGATGTGACTACGAACCCCCACTGTATACTAATCCTGCACCCATCCACACTCATTGTACTCTCTACTCCACACAGCCCGATGTGTACGGCCTCCCTTGGTCTAACAAGCATAGTCGGAATATCACAAAATTTTTTGCCAAGCTTGCAGAGTTGGTGCGCGCGCGGCCGGAGGCCTGTCCACCATCAATCGCGCGGCGTGAGGATAGATGGTGCTTACCCATGTCCTGGCCATCGTCGGCTCTGGTCCACAGTCCGCAAGTGAAGCCCGTCGTCTACATTTTCTGAAGCTCGTCTGGCGGAAGGTTTGGGGCAGAGCAGCTTCCGCAGCCTAAAGGTCCGTCACCGCTACGGACTTCCGCCAGCTTAGGACTGCCCATGGCTTACAGTCACAATCACACCATGCAGTGCTTGCCTGAGATATGATATATGAGTTGTCGCTGACTTTGAAGAGCTCTCACTGGGTCTCCAATAATCAATCATTGAGCGCGTACCTAGCTTACCAGTAAGGCTTCATCATTTGCCCTTTCGCAACAACCCACGCGACCAGCTCGAGTGGTGTGCCCAGACCTGCCACCGGTCTCGAGAGAATGCTCGGACTTCTATGGAAAAGGGACGGCGAAGCCGAGGCCGCAGGTGAGAACGTTACAAGTGGACAAGAGCAAGCTATAGGCTTGATGATAAATGGCTGGCCAGCGCTCGCATTCGTAGCTTGGTGCGCGACATGACAGCACCTTTCGTCCGGAGATCCAGAATACCATGTATTGTAAGACAATATAGCAGATAACAGGCGAGCCAGATCGAGAAAAGCGTTCGAAACGTCCAAAGCGAAGGTCAGTATCTACATCACGCAACGAAACACAGAGCAGAAGCGAGCGAAAGCACAAGCGAGAGCGAGAGGCCGAGCAAGTTGAGCGACGACACCGGGCTCGCGGCGTTCGTCCCTGGGGTCGTGGTCGGCGAGCTTCCTCCTGAAGAGCTTGAAGAGCCTGAAGGTTCAGAAGCGCGTCAATAATACTGATGAGCTGATACGCGAGGGATGACGCACCGGTGCCCGCGGGGATTGGCAGGCCTGTCCCGGTGATGGTCGCGCTCCCGGTTCCCGGAGAGGGAGTGCCTGAAGTTGCAACACGAGTGGTATTAGTAGCAGTCGCAGAGCGGGTCGTAAATCCGGTCGTAAATCCAGTCGTCGTTGGTATAATCGAGGAAGGTATCGTGGCAGGAGGTATCGATTGTGTAGAGGGTATTGTGTGCGTTTTGGGTGACGTTGGCGAGGAGGTATGAGAGACATGAGAGGCAATTGCTGGTAAGGTTCACAGTAGCGTTCGCGAGAGTGTAGCGGATACGTACCCGAGCCGCCTGCGGCTGATGACAGTTGGGCAAAGCCTACTGAGAGTGGGGACGCGCGGAAGACAGAGAGGACATTTTTCTGGGTTGTTTGATCCCGTCAGATCACCCAGCGCGATGTTATATCCACGTTCAACTTACCAGGAAAGTATCGCCGACGACCCAAGAGGGGTTTCCACTACCGGGACTGATGTTAGAGCCAAGACCAAGGTCGAAAATGCCTCCAACACAGGTTCCGTCGCCGACGGTACCCAGGTTCATATCGTCTGTGCTGATAGGCCATGAACTACCACCGAACGACAGAGACACCTGAACGCTAGTATCGCAGGCTGGTGACAAGATTTGCAGCATTAGATCCACGAAAAATGAATTGCCCAGCCAGGTACGCACGGAAACTGAAAAAGCCTTCCATGTCGCCGGAGAGAGCCTGCGAGTTCGGAACAGCCTGCCAAACGGCCTGGACACCATCCGACGGTCCCCCAATTAGGGTGGTACCCGTGTCGATAGCAGAGACGGCAGCAGCGCCTGTCGAGATTGACACGCTTTGGCCGTTGACAGTGACGCCTAACACACACATTTAGTATACATAGCTTTTGCTTTTGATACACGACCACTCTAGACGTACTGGAAAGCTCCAAAAGCCAGAACGTGGCATCGCTAATGCTGTCCGTGGCGGTGAGGTTCAGGAACTCGATGTTGCCAGTGAACAAGGAACTGTTGGTGCCGCCAAGAGTGAGGAAGCCGCCTGGCTCTGAGTCTGTCGCACCGTCAACGCCCAGAAAACGGGTGAGAAAGAAGGACATTTCCGGCTGGGCAAATTGGCCAGCATTGAGCAGTGCTTCCCAGAAGGGTGTCGCCTGTGTCGACGCCAAGGCTTGGAAAGCCAAGCCAAGGATACCCGAGGTCTGACCGTCGAGCAGGCCTTGTGAGATGGTTTCAGCGACGAGGAACGTCTGTGGGTTGACGGTGAAACCGCCCATGCTCACGGTATCCTGCGCGAGGGTACCCTGGACCTCACCACTGCCATATTCGATCGTGATTCCCTGTTGCCCGGTGGTCCCCTGTGACTGTTGTATCGAGGATGATTGAGAGGGATTAAAGGTGGTCAATCCTTCGCAGGTACGGCAGTTGGTTGATGCCACCCAGAGATCTGACGAGCCAGTGTCCAGCACGACTTCAAACGTTTGCGGCGGCGTTCCAATAGAGATGGGTCCGATATATGACGAGTCTACGTTCTATTGTCATGGATTATCAGCATACACCAACAACGAGAATTTGAGAAAGTGTGTGAAAACGTCGTGGACAGAGCCGCCGGTGCAACCCAGCAACGGGATGTTGATGGCGCGACATCAACAATAACAGGATGCGCACAGCACCAGCGCTTCAGGTAGCTCTCTTCGAGGTGAAGAGGAACAGTGGGATACCTAGTTTGCCCCGCTCTGGAGCACAGATCCGCCGAACTTGGTGGTAGCCTCAGTACTAGCGAGAGGCTCTAGCACAGCATTGCGGCCGAATCCCAGAGATATCTGAGACACAAAGTGCGTCGTACTCACAGAATTGATGATGGGTACCCCGACAGTCTGTCCCGCCCGCTTCCTCGAGTTTGACGGGGGTGGCTTGTATCCGTATTTAACCCGCAACAAATCTCGAGCCTTCGCAAACCGTGCAGTATCGATGGTTCCATCGCGTTTGCGGAGGGTGCTCTTCCGGGTCAGAGGGACATGGATCCCGTCGGCAATGACAAGGCCGACAAGCGCAAGGAGGGGCAGGAGGTGGGCGGTGAGCATTATTAGCGTAGACGGTGCGTAAGGACGCACTGGGCGTCGAGATAGAGAGGAAAGGAACGGTGGCGCGATGGGGTGTGAACTAGTGGTATAAGAGCAGTCAGCCGCCGGGTTTGTCGTCCCTGTCACAGTCACAGCCAAGTGGCCCTGTTCCCAAGTACTTATTATTTGTAATGTGTTGACCAGCAGAGAGATGTCCCGGGGGAGGAGAGGGAAGGAGCAATGAAAAGACTGGACTGGAGATCTTGAGTGGTCGACGACTGTGTGGTGGCGACCAGGCAAAAGAACAAAACTCGTTGCCCGCCGTCGCGAGGTCGCCGCGCGAGCTGCAGCCCGTCACAGATCCGTCACACAATTAATCTCACGCTGCGGACGGCGCGCCAAGACAGGGCCGGCACGCCTCTCTGTCCCGGATTTTGTCGGCAAAGGACTCTAGCTCATAATGCTGATTAACTGCCTGACTTAGACTAAGCTGGCACCCATAGAGAACAAGCCGAATTTTTTGGATTAAACAGTAAAGGCTGGTAGTCTCGAAGCATCTAGCCACGGTCAAGCTGCGCTTTCGGATCCCGCCGGTGCATATACCCGTTTGGAAACTTCCGATTCGCCTCTATACATGGAGCACACAGCACAACATGCCGCTTTCACGACGTACGGAGCAGCTGATGTATGCCAGCTCTCACTGCGCACTCGACTGCGCTCACTCATATGTGACGCAAATGTTGTGCCACAAAGGCGACGCTCCATACCAAGAATTTCTGTCCCACTGCGGAGCCCGCTGAGGGACTCGAGACGATACCAAGTGCACGTCTAGCGCTTAACCAGACAGCTGACTCGTAATTTGATGCAAATGATCCCTGCGAGCAGCTCTTGTCTGCTTGGGCACAATTTTGAGAAGGGGCAGGGGCGGCCATGAGGTGAGAGCGTAGGTGTCGGCTCACCCGCCAAGTCTCAAGCAGGCCAACAATGCTCAAACGTGGGGATTTCGAGATAATTGCGTTCCCTCAGGCTGAACAGGCCTACTATAATGTAAAGCTTTGTAGGTTTGGAGCGCATTCCTTTTGACAGATGGATGCCTGGGTTATCAAATGTACAAATGGAAACGGGCTAGATAGCATTCAGAGCTGTTGTCTAGCAATTCTCGATACACGGTATTGATACGTTGCGGATAGAGACGCGGTGATACCAAGTTGGAGAGTAACTCATCCGCTACGTTTTGCGTCTCCTTCTACACGTTTGCAATATCCCAGTTGCGCTCGTAGTAATTGGCCCTAACCACCCCAATCAAGGCCCAAAGCGCCCTGCTTGCCCCCGCGCACAGCTACCTCGACAGCTTCAGCGAGATCACGCAACGCCCTGACATCCTCCTCGGACTGAGCGCCGTGGGCCGTCAGCGTGATTGGTGCCGGGCCATGTACGTCACTCGAAGAAACACCGAGTGCATGCTGCAACGCATCCTCGCGCTCCGCACCACGCAAGCTGTCAATCATGCGCAGAATCTCCTTCAGCCGAGGGTTCACCGAGAACGCTTTGCGCACGGGGGACGAGGTGGCTGCGCGTGTGTGAACGTCGGCTTCTTTCTGTGCACGGCAAGACAGAAGGCATTCTTACCGATCGCCTCGTATTGGTGCAGCTGCAGCGGCTTCGGGTCGTCTCGCTTAAGCGGGTCCGGGTATGCAGATTCCTCCGGGATGTATGGCCACGTCAGCGACGTCAGTGGCCGCAGCGGTGGGGATGGCGGCTTGAAGTCTCTGTTCGGCGAGGCAGATTGTCGCTCGCCACCCGCCACGTTCGCTGCTGCCGCATCTGCAAGCCGAGCTCGGGATCAGTGTTTCGGCTGCGCGGCTGGGTCTTGTGGTGGCCGTGAAAGAGAGCTTCTCACCTCGGTTGTCCGGGCTCGGAACGTCTAAGTCGACTGCCTGGGAATTTACTCCGACGACCGCGTCCAGCTGGTGGGCACCAGCAGCAGCAACATCACACGACGACTCTATTGGTGCATTAGAGCGATATATACTAATAAGAGCTAGTGAAGCTCACCTTTATGTTGCTTAAAACACGGTACGGAACAGCTAGGAAGATTTCGCACAAATTCTAGAACATTGTGGCATGACCTCTGTGTGATCCTTACTATTGTGTCATGCATTTTGAGCAAGTGTACTTTGATTCATGATTGTTGCATACTTGACAAGCTGGTCTTTTCGAAGATGGCATTTTGTTCGAAGAGTGCTTGACACAAGCTCAATAACGCGCGCCTCGCTCCTCGCGCCTCTGTGCCGAGTTGCCGAGAAGTGCAGGACTGTTGTATTGGGGCATGCGCAGAGCGTCGAAACGTAGATACTAATAACTGCTCTCGTAGATGTCTCTTCTAGGCAGGCTTGATATCCGTGCATCTCTTAAGTAAAATTGCCAAACACCCCAGACAGAGAGTAGTAATATTGTGCGAGTGTATTATGCAGTGAAAACTTTGGCAGTCCGGGCCAGAGCGCACTGTGGTCAACGCACGGCCTCTCCTGAGTCCTTTGGGTTCGTGAGATTTCGGCACAAGCCTTGTTGATCAAAATTATCCGGGGGCAGCGTGTTGAAGACGTACGGCATGTACTGCAAGATGTGACTACTGTCCGGTGTCTGTCCAAGCTGAAACTTTAGCGTTATCAGACTCCGAAGGTAAGCATTACTATAGGCAGGCTCGCTCCATAATTTACAGAGATAATCGCCTGCAATGCGATGGAAGTACGAACTGTCAACGCCGCCGGGCTCGGGGACGAGAATAACGTTCAAGGACGTCTGGGAACACCTCTGTCTTGACCTCCCCTCCTCTTCTTGAAACGTGAAGCGCTGAAAGCGCCCCCTGCCCTTGAGCTGAGACAACGTCGCGTACGTCGAACTCAGCGCACTACGATTGATCAGCTTCTACACGTTCTTTGCATCGAGGCGCTGCCGTTCGCGCAACACGAGCGTCATGTCTTCGAGCGCGCGGTTGGAACTTGCGGAGATCGATGCCACGATAGTCCAGATGTCCTGCCAAAGCAGGGACATTGCTTGGACCGACAGCTCGAGCAATTGGAGCGCGTTACAACAGGACATATCCAGAGGCGGCGGTCCGTTCGCTAGAGAGAGGGTGTGTGAATCGACTGCTACTGTGTGCTTATACATCATGCGAACTCACCACTCTCATCTCGCCAGAAACCCACGAACGACAGCTTTAGGCAGACCAAGTTCGACTTCGTGCCAGCCAGCAGCTCTTGCAATCCCGTCCAGCCATGAGTCCCTAAGTTGCATAGCGATAACGTGTGTAAGACGCGTGCAGAGGGTGTTGGGAAGCGCGAGATAAAGAAAGAGGTGGTCGGTCGCCTCGCGTTGAGTGACGAGGCTGTGGACGGCAAGGTGCCGTGATGTAGGAAAATTCTCTCGGCGCAACGACCAATAGCAAGGTATGATTACATCAAGACTGCCGATCTCCTTGAAGCAGCAGAGCAGGTGGGTGACATCAACTGGAGGTACTCCTTCCCGCGCGCTCCCCACCGCGAGGGTCTCTAGCGAAACGAGTTTAGAATCGAGCTGAATCGAAGGGAGCGATGTGACAAATGTGTCTTGGACGCGCAGGTGCTCTAATCGAGGGAAAAGGCCGAGCAAGCCGAGGAAAGTCGCCGGGTCGTGATAGCCCTTCTCCTGGTGGAGTGTCCAGTCAACCGACTGACAGCAGGGACAGTCTTCAGGCTGAGTTCTTTGGTGCACACCGCAAGCTCAGGATGCTCCTCTAAGAAGGCATATATGCCACGGAAGGCTACGCGAAGATTGCATTCGGCCTCGCGGTCTTTGTTGTTGTCTGTGAGAGTGTAGGTGACTTGACGAAAGAGATGGGGCCGAGCAATAACGTTCCAAACGTTCCAAACAAGAGAGCAAGACGTCAAATTCTGCTTGCTAGACGAGTTGACGTTGAGCCGAGCGAAGACGGTATCGAGGAGTTCTGGTAGAAGCTGAATCATATTTCGCTATCAGTGAGCGCAAGCAAGCCATCGAGCACAGCACGAACCTGCATCTTTGTACCATGTCCGCTGATGCTCATCTCTTTAGCGACAGAAATATCTGAAGGTGACATCTCCCGAGCTCGCTCTAACTCGGCATGCGAAGGGAAGAGCTATGAATGGAGTCTGGCATTCATGCATGGCTTAAGTAGAGCCCACCCCTTTTAAACTTACATAACACTCTTTTCCGGAGACCGGATAGCGAATGCCTGTCGTGAACATCATAAGCGGCAGAACTTCGACCAGTAATCCTATTATCAGTGCACGTGGTCATCGGAGGGCAGTACACGAGACGAATCCAGATCTTGCGAGTCGGTGTAGAAATTGGTTCGGAATGAGACTTCCAAGTAGCAGTGCCCTCAGGTCTCCGAGGTCGTTCGAGTTCGTTCGAGATCAAGTTACCATCACTGGAAAATAGTTTTGCTAGACTCGCATGCACAAATCCGCCAGTATCTAACCCGGAAAGGCATCATTCAGTCGCAAGCGCGCCTTCCTGAACGATGTCGGCGTTATGTAGACCTGGAAGGATTTCTGACGAGCAGGTTGTACGACATGCTCAGAGGGGCGCAGGTGCCCGTCATAGTGCTAGCCACTCGTAGAGTTTTGGATGGGGGCGAACCTATGATTTCCCCACCTTCCTTGAGGCGGCGTTTGCGGAGGCAATCGAAAATTGCTTAGGGCTACTTGCAAGGCTGTTTGGCTGGTCGAGAGGAGGCCTGTAATCTTCGGCCTTCAGGCCTCAGCCGTGCGGGCATGCGTGGAGGGATGCAAGGGTGGTGAGATAGCATTACAACGGCGAGCTTCGATGATAGGTACAGCAATTTGAGAGGATCCCATAGCGACAAAGCGGATCCGAGCAAGATGAAAGCAAACGGATTCGAAAGAGATGGTCAAGCCATCTCCTCATCCGAATCAGAGATATACTCCTTCGTTTTGCTGCGAAGTGACCTATCAGTATTCACATTAATTGGCGGCCCCGGTGAAGGACTCACATCTGCTTTTTACGCGGCGCCGCCCCAGTTGCCTCCTCGTCATCGTCGTCACGCACGACCCGCTTCTTCGTCCGCTTCCGCGCCGGGCGGCTGTCGCCGTCCTCGTCCCCGCTGAACAACGCGCCATCGTCGTCTGCACCGTCACCATCCTTGCGCAACTTCCCACGGCGCTTCTTCCGCGGCTCAGCCTCACCGTCGCTGAGCCCGCCGCCTCCTTCGGTACGCGTCCGGCGCGCCTTCTTTACCTTCTTCTGGGGCTCTTTCTCGTCGTCGCTGTCTCGATGTTCTAATGTCCACCTTAGGGCCTCCTCACGTGCACGCTTGCGCTCCTCAGTCAGCTTTTCCGAGTCCTGGCGAATTTTCTCCAGGCGCTCCAGCTGCAGGCATATCGGTCACCGCAGCAACAGGTTGCGGGGATGGAACCTACCTCAATCTGGTCCTGCTTGTCCTTGTCCTCCTGCCTCTTCCGCCGCGCTTCCTCAAGCTTCGCCTGCGTCTCACTCTCATACAGCCGTTGGGTCGCAAGGTGATCGTCGCACCGACGCAGCACGCTTTCGCCGTATTTGCGGCGTTGATCCGCAATATCCGTGCTGTATGGCAACTGATTTGACTTGTCTGCTGCCAACGACTGAAAAAGCCTGCCGCCAACATCAGCCAGGGACCACATTTTATGCGCTGGTTGCCACTCACTTCTGTGCATGTTGTGCTTGCTCAATCGCTCGCCGTAGCTCCATCAGCGACCGCTTCGCCGGCGGTACAGACAGTAGCATCTCTGCTGCTTTTTGTTCAATCATGGCGATGTTATACGTGATCGCCTTGTCGTGCGGGTGCAGGTGTAACGCCTGCTGGGCGTACCGCAGTGCTGTCGTCATTGCGGCGAATGATTGGTCTTTGTTCGCTTTGGCGTACCACGATCGGCATAGACACAGCAGCACGCTGACGTTGTGGTTGTTGTAGAACTTCCTCGACGCGGTCTCATACTTCTGAACGTCAGTATCGCGAATGAAGGCAGGATGAAGCCGCTTACACTTTCAATAGCACGATCATACTCGTCGCTCGCGTAGTAGCAGTGTCCCATGTTCGAGTACACGCTCCCGTCGTCTAACGACTCCCGCACCTTCGCGAACACATCCAGCGCTTCGCGCGCATTCTTCACGCGCTTACTGGCTTCGTCAGGCCCGACGGGCCCGAGGCTACCACCCAGCGTGCCGAGGGCATCCTCGGCGGTGACAATCGCCAGTCCCTGCGCCGCGAAGGCACACATGGGGTCGAGGTGCAATGCCTTCTCATAAAACTCGGCCGAACGCCGAAAACCCTGTTTGCGCTCCTCGATGCCCTTTGGAGTTGCGTCGCGACTCTCCCGTGCCTGATGGTACTGAATCCAGCCAGCTGCACACAACGAGTAGATGTCGTGCTTATCGTGGTCCTTCAGTGTCGAGAATACAAAGTCCTTCGCGGGCTTCGGCAGACCAGACTGGATTAGGAAATGCGTGTAGAATGCGCGCAGGTTGAGATTGCTGTTCTGCGATGCGAGCGACTGCTTGAGGAGTTCATGCGCGTCATTGTGCCTATTGAGGTCGACTAGCATCTGCGCGAGCCGAATCTTGGCTGAAGGCAGCTTAGCGACACAACTCGCGCGAAACAATATCCAGACGCACCGTCAACATACTCTGGATGCCGAGAGAGCAGCTTCTCATATGCATCTTTTGCCGTTATCTCCTCGCCTTGGTCCTCGTACACTCGAGCGAGATTGTACAATATCGACGTCGCCATACTATCGCTCTCGCGAGTACCTTGGCTCGATGCGTCGGTAAGCGCACGCTCGTACATGCTCCTCGCCTCATCAAGACGCCCCGACAAATGTCGCAGTGCAGCCAGGTCGTTGATGAGCCTTGGGTCGGGGTGACCCGTCGCCTCGCTGAGTCGAACGGCCTCCTGACACGCACGCTCGACACGACCAACGTCCTCTTGATAGAACAGCTTCGCAATCTCCGCATGAAGCTGAACGTCTTCGGCGACTTGCCGTTGCGATCGCGTCAGAGCAGGGGCATGGCCGTTGAGGATGGTATGCGCCTGCTCCGGCAGGTTCAGCATCTTGCATACCTGGTCGAATAGCTCACGCGCCCGCTGCTTATCCTTCGCCTGATCAGAATTCGAGACGCCAGGTCTCGGATGCGCACGAAGCGAAGCGAGCATGGCGGCTGCCTCAGCAGAGCGCCCGCTGTTGTTTTGCGCTTGGAGCAGAAAGTCAAGAGTGTGGATCGCGGCAAAGGCCTCCTCTATCAAAAGGTCAGCGAACGAACGCTTCGAGTACGAGACAGATACATGCCATTCTTCAGCTGCGTCTGTGCCAAGCCAATTGCAGCCAGGACATTAGTCGGCTGGCCTTTGTTGGCGACAGTGAAATGTTTTTGCGCTTCGGAATGAGAGCCTTCTTGCTGAAGCACTCTGCCTGCACGGATGTAGCCGTCTGTTAGGACAGTAAGGGTATCAGCGAACTGGATAGTCCGCTCGGCGAGCTTGAGTGCCTATATGGGTCAACTTAGCAGGGCACTCAATGAAGTAGAGCGAGCCGTCATTACTCGTTTATGCTGTCCTTTGCGAAGGAAGAGCTCGCAGAGTGCATTACTGGCGGCAGAGTTCTTCTGGTTTGCATTGAAAGCCTTCTCAATAAGTCTTGTACCAAACAAAAATTCTTGTCGGCGCTCTTCCTCTGACTGGTTCTCGTTCTTACTTGAGTTTATGGCTTCCAATCCGAGCAAGAGCTGAGCTGGCCACTGGGATGGATTCTATCCAACGGTTACGCGACAATGTTTACGGCGAATATCGATTTCAACGTACCACTTCCACACTCCGTTCCCACGCCGCTTTCGCCCTCGCCTTCTGGTCCATTGCCCAAAAGCACAGCCCAATACCTATTCGTGGATCAGGTACGCAGTTTGGATTATAGCGTAGGACATCCTGAAATATTCTCAGAGCTTGAGGGAATTGCCGCTTGGCGTAGAGAATCCTCGCCTATCATACGCATGAGTTTTTGGTCAGGTTCAATCATTGGACTAGATGCTAACTTTGCCTAACAGCGCGACAAGGTTAGTTGACTTGGTGACAAGGACACCGTCAAAAGTCCGTAATGCGTCGTCCATGTTCCGAGTGCTCAGCTGGATTATGCCTATGACGAGTCGTCAGGATAGTGCGCATTGTAGTTTCGTGCTGGCATACCTCGCGTGAGGAACGTGAGTATGCTAGTATCTTTCTCGCTACCTGCCCCTTCAATTGCAGCTTGAGCAATCGCCTTCTCCCCCAAGTTCATATATTGCGTTGCTTCCCGATGATAGTGGGCTTGAGCATGCTCCTGGCGCATATCATCTTGGCCTGCATACTGTTCAACATTTGTAATACATTGCAAATGTCTTGCTGACTTACGGGAATCTTGTAGCACAAGCTTTGGTGCTTTGCGCGCGCGCGCGAGTTGAATATTAGCAAGTAATGAGTATACTGGCGGCAAAGAACCCCTCTGCCCGTTTGCCTGGAACCCTGGACAAAGATACGTATATAAAAGGACTACGAGTGCGTAACATCAAGACGTACAGTCGTCAGCACCACGCGCGAGCTTCTCTGCGGCGTCCAGATTTCCTTTCCGCCAGTACTCTGTAGCCAACTTCGTCCAAACCCAGACCTTCGACTGTGATTCACGTAGCACTTCCAGCAAGTCATCTGGATTAGCGTCCAGGTTATCCAAATCAACTGCAATGACTTCTTGACCAGACAGTTCGATGTCGAGGGTCCGACCAGCAGAAGGCGAGGGTGAACGCGTTCCGTTCATGATGGCTTTCGTAAGATAGAGGCCCGGCAGCGGAGGGTTGTATCTTCCAGAACGATAGCAAAATAACAAACTAAGAGTAGAAGGGGAAGGTCGAGCAAGGCCGGAGGGTGTGGCGGTCAGTTGCGGATGGCGGTCGCGGCGGCCCAGCGCGGGCTGTGACGGTCACTCTCACACAGTTGCCTTTGTTGTATAGACGCCCATCACGATCGTGACAGTGACACTTCGGATCGCGCAGCGCCGCTCAACGCCGTTCCCGACGACGACAAGGCCCCTACCGGCCTCTACGGCGACCACACACCTTCACCGACCCGCTGAATTCAGACATAACCACCCAAATCGCCTCCTGCTCGCGCCTCTGTACCAGATTGCGCCCCCTTTCAGAGCAGTAGTACTCGAACATCACTTGTTCATCCCATTCCCCGGCATCAGGAGGCTTGGACCATTGAAAGACAGAGGTTCTCACCCTGGGAAGGCCCTATTGTGACTCAGAATACCTGTGGAGCATTCTGTGGCCGGCTTTTAACCACATCTATAGGTGCAAGGTCGGCCTGCTTCAACGACGAACTTTTTCACGATCCCACTCCTGAGAAGAAATACGTCGGTCGTATCCTTGATTCGAGATGACCGTGACACACCGGAAGCGGCAGCATCAACCTGAGGAAATTCAAAGTGAGTGTTTGTCGCCTTTGGTAGAGCGGGAAAAGGAGTGTCTCCCTCCCCTCATGCTCTCATATTCCCACGGTGTGCTTACGTAATACATTCTGCAGCTGTAAACGAGCCCGGCCTCCAGATAAACTGCGACGCATGCCAGTGCGACCTCACGCATTCTATTCGAATAATATGTGCGGATCAAGCTTGCGAGGATGTAAATAATGGGACAGATATCTGTCCATCCTGCTTTTGTGCAGGCAAGGAGTTTGGGCCGCACAAGAGGACCCATGCTTACCGCGTCGTCGTATGTGACACTCACTTGTCGGCAGACAAAGCAATAATTGAAGCTTTTCAAAAGGAATTGCATTCGTATCCCATCTTTACTGAAGATTGGGGTGCTGATGAGTATGTTGATTAGCTATCGAACGTTACTTTAGTACTGATATGCCTCCAGGGAACTCCTGCTACTTGAAGGCATATCTCTCCAGGGTCTAGGCAATTGGCAGGCTATTGCGGAACATGTCGGTACTCGGACCAAAGAAGAGGTTGAGCAACATTACAAGTCGGTGTACATCGAGTCACCGAATTGGCCCCTGCCAGTAAGTTTCGTGCCGATGTCCAAGCGACGCATCTCCGCTAACTGCTCCCAAGCGAATGGATGCACATTTTACTGTCGAACCGGAAGAGTTCCACGAACGCAAACGCAGGCGAATAGCCTCGATGAACACCAATCCGCCGCCAGCGCCAAAGATGGCGCCCACATCCGCACCAGGCGTGCACGAAATCGCTGGCTTCCTACCCGGTCGCCTTGAGTTTGAGCACGAAGTAGAGAACGAAGCGGAAGACTTTGTCAAGGACCTCGAGTTTGGTATCTGTCTCGAGTGGGGCGGCGGCGAGATCCCAGAGGACGAGAACGACCTGGACGTCAAAGGCCGCGCCCGCATGCTCGAGGAGGCCAAGATGCACGAGTCAACACCGGGGAAGCGCTTGCCGAATGGCTTGTCCAACGGCGTCGTCAATGGGTTCCACTTTCCCAGCCAACCGCCAAAAGCGGAGAGTCCGCCAAAGAATGACAAGGGCGATGAGAATAAAGACGAGAATGTCGATGAGGATGCAGAAGAGCCTACGCAGCCACCGCCGATTGAGACGAAGGAGTCGCTCGCGTTCAAGCTGACGCTTCTAGAGATGTATAGACAACGGGTCGAAAAGCGGCAGGAGGCCAAAGCCCTGATTTTCGAGCGTGGGCTCTTGCACTATAAGCAGGTATGCTTGCCTGCTCGCGAAGCCGGGTCCAGTCTTCCTCACACCACAGCAGATGCAGGCAAACGAAAAGAAGCGCCCGAAGGAGGAGAAGGACATCGCACATCGTCTGCGTCCATTTGCTCGGTTACAGACTGCAGAAGACTACGAAGCTTTCGTAGCAGACACCATCTGTATGCATCGATTTGCTATCACCCTCATCCCCCTACTAACTACTTGGCTTAGGGGAAGCGATGCTCCGGAAACGTATAGCGGAACTGCAGCACTACCGCCGGATGGGCTTGACCAACGCTGCCGACATCGAGAAATATGAGAATGACGTCATCAAGCGGGTAAGGTTATATCGTATCAACAGACCTAGACACGATACTCATGTAGAACGACAGGCACAAGCGAGAACGAACGTCACAAGGGACTATTACCCCGTCGAGCGCCTCAACCTTAGGACCGGCAGCGCCCGTCAATCTGCAGGTCCCGACTCGACGAGAGGATCTGAAGGTCCCGATGGTGTGCGAACGGCCCCAGCTTCCGCGAGTGGGCCCAGCACCGCCTCAGGTCGCAAAATCCGTATGTCCAGCTCGAGTCGTCTGGTGTCATGCTTTGCTAAATCCATGCGTTCTCCAGCCGCACCCCTCAACCTGGCGAACAGCCCGTCGCTACACCTGCTTACGCCTGAGGAACAGACGCTCTGTTCGCAGCTCCGCATCCTCCCGAAGCCCTACCTCGTCATCAAGGAGACCCTGGTGCGCGAGTACGCGCGTCGCGGCGGCAAGCTGCGCCGTCGCGAGGCGCGCGACCTGGTCAAGATCGACGTCAACAAGACGAGCAGGGTCTGGGACTTCCTGGTGCAGGCCGGCTTCCTCCGGGTCGGCAACGCAGATCCGAACGCCGTCGTCAACGCGTCTCAATCTCAGGAGTACGTCCCCAGCCTCCCCACCTCTCTGATCAAATTGCTGATTGTGAAGCAGGAACCGCGTCTCCGCCACCCCCTCGATCAGCGCGTCTCTGAGCAAAGAGTCGCAGCTCAAGTCACCCAAGGCCGCGTTCACGCCGGCACCGCCGGGCCTCACGCCTTCCGCCTCATTTTCGTCGATATTGCCGGGCACGTCCAGCGCGCTGGGGCGACCGGGCTGACGCTGCGCTACCCAACTCTCTCATTACACCGTGCACTCACTGTCTTTATGCATGTCTTCCTCATTCTCTCCACACGCATTCCTGTATCTATATACCATCCATCGCATTATCGTCTGTACCTTATCCGCTGTGCTTTGAATATAGTTGTACTATCTCTTTAGGGAGCTGTATAGGCTACGTCGAGGCTCCTGGAGCAGTGAGAAGATCGTCGATGATTTTGGAGTCGATGGGGATGTCCGTCCGATGGAGATAGTCATCGTTCCTGCGGTGTGCGTCAACGAATGCAGGTGGTAGTATTGAAAGGTCCACGTACCAGAACTAAATAGGTGTAAAAAGATAACCAGATGAGTCACTAGTCAGAGACAGTAGACGGACGGCAAGACCAAACGCACCTTCGAGTAATGCCTATTTCCGGAGTCGCACCTACGCAAACCGGAATCAATGTTGGAATAATAGTGGTGGATATCGGCACATACAAGATGGTCACGATCCGCTGCCCTTCTTTCCAGCCCATCTTTTTCACCAGCTTGATGCACGCAACGAGGTTGCATGCGCTACTAGAGCCCAGGAAAAGGCCATCGTGCTGTACGATGTACCTCGACATGGCGACTGCTTCTGCGTCGGTTATCCTGGGAAGAGATGTGTCAAACTGGGTCTTGAGAGCAGCATTGCAGCCGCACGTACCGGAAAGCATCGCTGATGATGGACAGACCGTAGTCCATGTTCTTCGTAAGACGATTGATGCCTCTGTATGGCGCATGAGTACAGTAAAGCGTAACGGAAGAGCCCAGCAATACTTACATGCCCTCAACCACGGTATCGACCTGGTGCCTCCTCTTGGTGCCTTCGGCTTCTTTCTGGTCAAACATAACTCCGTACTTGACCTGTTACATGCTCAGATACATTTGATAATCCCACTCAAAGTGAACAAACCTTGTTGTACAGGCCGCTCCCCTCCGGGTCTGAGAGCACGACCACGACGTCTTCGTTCATAGACTTGAGGTACTGTCCGATGCCAGAGATAGTTCCACCAGTTCCTGTAGTATTTCTATCAGCACATGTCCGCCCACGTCACACGCTTCTCACATACCCGCCCCGGAGATGAACGCATCGACTCGGCCGTTTGTCTGTCTCCAGATCTCCGGGCCCGTGCCGTCGAAATGGGCGGCATAATTGCTACTATTCTACATGGAAGTTATGTTATGTATGATACCCCGCGACTCTCACAAGACGTACCTCGAACTGGTCGGCGAAGAAGCCGCGGGGCTTGCTCCTCAGCTCATCCTGGTCTTGTACAGTCATCACACCATGATCTGGTGCGATAATATCGCCGGCGGTCGTAGTCACTACTACGGACGACGACTCCTGAAGGATGGCAGAGTGCGATGATATGGAGTCCTGGCCAAAATGAGCAGCCCTTTCGCGAGCGAGATTCTACAGGCATCATAGTTTGTGGGGGCAGAAGAACGAGAGATTCCTTCAGGACCTACCACAAACTGCTTCTTGTCAACGATGCTTGCCGGCCGGACGCGTTCAACATCTGCGCCCAAAGCCTGTAAGGCCTTCACTTTTTCGTCCGCGACATCGTCCGGCATGATGATCGCTGGACGAGAATTTGAGAAGTGGCAGGACTAGTGTGGAGGAAACACATACTCGCGTCATAGCCTCTGTGTAGCACATCAGTAAGTGTGAGAATTAGCCTCTTGTTCTATTACTATATCCCACCTCGCTTTCGCAATGGTGGCGATGGAGATGCCGGTAGAGCCAACAGTGCCTTCAAAGATGCGAGAAGCAGTGTGTGGATAAAGTAAGCCCTGCCGCTCTGCGTCCTCAATGACTTTCAGATCATGAAAAGTCAGTACAGGCAAGCAAAATCGTACACAAAGGATCGTACTTCTCAATGCGACCCGATCCTTGACACTACCCCCTGGATTCATATACTGACATCAGGTATGATCAGCTGGCCTCAAAATTAAGCACACGTTGAACACAAATCTCACCTCCGCCTTACCGAGAATCTCCACTCCTAACGCATCGCTTAACGATTTGATCCGGACCAGCGGAGTGTTGCCTTCAGCAGCGAGTCAGTCAAACCCACGTTCCAGCAGCACGTACACCTAACCTATTAGCCCAGCGACACCATCGACCACTTCATCAATTCGTATCTCAATGGGTCTCGGCTCGAACTGGTCTTGCAGCCTCTCACGCTTCCTCTGCTGGAAGTAGAGCGCGAGCGACGTAGACGTGACTGAAAGAGAAAAACCTATGAGCACGCCATACAAAACGTGCCGCACGGTTAGCGCCGAAGGTAAGTGAAGGGGAATTGACTTTGGTGAGAGAGACGGCAGCCAGGAAACCATCTCGGAGCACCGAGAAGAGGTCAGAGTTGAAGAAATCAAAAGCGAGCCGCCTGGATGCGGAAACAGAAGACTTTGTGGCGGCCGCGTGAAATGTCGTCATCAGAGGCTGCAGTTATTTGCTCCGACATATTTGGACGACTCAGACGTAAAGTGTACTGAAAAGGTATGTACAATAAGCTTTTTCAGGATTATGAACTAATACTCTACTAAAGTAGATAGCTACAGGTCTGCGGACTCGTCTGACTCAATTTCGGAGGAAGTAGCGCCATCAGAATCGTCCAAATTATGAGGGTGCACCACCAACTCCTCAACCTGCTGCTCTAGCTCTTCCAAAGCTTCCCGGTAACCTGCCCAAGGGTCACTCAGGTTCCTCGCAGAGAGGATCGCAAGTCTCTTAAGAGGACTGCCCTGCGTCCGTCGCTTGGCCAGCGCAGCCACGAGCAAGGGGAAAATCGCGTCCTTGTGTGCCTGGATAGTCCCAAACGATAGACCATGAGTTCTGTACCATCGGATGCCATTAAAGACGAGAGTTTCGAGGGCCGGGAAGGAGTGCGGGGCTCCGAGGCAATCCGAGAGCTCAGCGACTGCCGACCAGTGACTATCCTCAATCTCCATTTCCCGGATGCTAGGGAGCTGGGACAGAGCAGTCCAATCGATCGCTCCATGCATCGGATCCTTGGAGGTTAGACGGAGAACTCGAAGCTCGGCGAGCGGGTAGTGTGTACACAGCGCAGGGATGACCACGTTCCAGCCCCTTAGAGCGACAGTGGTGGCCGGTGATACACCATCTGAGACCTTCCAGGGCTCTGACAGGCTCTGACAGATAAATACGTCGGGTTCGGTGTAGATGTCGATGGAGACTTCAGCATATGTACGAAGCCTGAGGTCGATGGTATGCGTGGCGGGCTGCGTCAACATAGGGTGAATAAGCTGTCCACGAGTTTTAGAGCCCAGGGACTCGAATACATATTGCGCGGTCTCTAGTGAACAGGAGTGATCCTCAGAGAAACGTATCCTCGCGTCTCCAGGGATGGCGAGATGGTTGATTAGACGAGCATGAGCAGCGTCAGCTTCGCTCTCTACGAGTGAGAGAATTTTGAGGGATCGTAGGACGACTGGCTTCGCGGATAGCGCAGCCTGCGAGAGCCGCGATTCGGAAAGTACATCTCGAAGTTCCAGGTGTTCGAGGAGAGGCAGTTCCCGGAGAAGCTCGACCCACGTCTCTACTGAGGAAAGCTCGGTCGCGTTTCGTACCTTTAGGATGGTTAGAGTAGGCCGCACCGCAGCCTCAACAAAGGCGTATGGCACTCCATCCCCCTCCAACATCCGAAGGCGAGGCCATAACGCTGTACGAACCACTTTGAAATCGACCGCCGCTTCGCTCCAGAAAGTGTCGACTTCGCCGGAAAAGCATTCCAGCAATGGTGCATCCAAGGTGCCGTAAGCCTCGGCATGGCGGAAGAACTGGGTATCCAGGCACGCGGCCAGGCTTTGGGTCCGATACATGTTCTGTACCAGGCCTCGACTGAGCTTCTTGCTTGGGCTGGTATCCCGCCAGCGGTTCCACAGTATAGTTAAAGGAACGTTGCCAGAGTAATCGAAGGATAACCAAGTGCGTCTCATCGCTGCAGAGTTCCAGCCGTTGATAGGGATGTACTTCCATAGATGAGGTGTGTGCAGGGCAACTCCTCTCCAATGATGACAGACACGGGTTATTTGAAGCCATTCCCACGACTTCTCGACCGATTTGGCGTGACCTCCGTTTCCGTAATGGTAGCGGACCCAGTCCTCGACGAGGGCAAGGAAGATATCTCCGAGGACCTCAGGAGGAAGGCGCCCGGTGAGTGAAAGCAGGTTCCTCCTCGACCAGAGTAGGCGAATTCGCCGCTGCAGCTCCTGCACCTCCAGCTGACGCAGCTTCACCGCGGTGTCGATCGCAGCCTGCGTTTCGAGCGAGAACGTCCATTCAGGGGGGTAAGCGGACATCTGTACGCTTCTCGTTTAGTCAACTGTAGCGCAGACTCAACACCAAGCACACTTGCTCATACTTACTTGCCTGAATGACGGCAGGAAACGAGTGTATGGTCGATGTACAAGTGTATAACTTTGAAAGGCGCTTTGCGCTGCGGCGGCATGACACGCATCTAACCCTAACGTAGGGGCACTGCGACCTCTTTCGCCGTATTTCCTCAACGGCTACGTCTCGAGCTCTCGACAAATGATGTTCATGTCTGTGCCTAGCAATGCCATATGTTTCTGTGACACAGTCGACCTTTCCGAACTGTGAGCTCGTAAAGCGAGCCAATATTGCAACGAGCGCCAGGCGCAGAGCACTGCCATCACTGTATACACTGGACGTCAAAAGTAAATGAACACCCACGCCGCTCGAGATCTAGCCACTATTGCAGCATGAGTCTCCAAGCTACGCCTAAGCTTTTATTTGTGTACATTCTACAAGGTCTTGGCTTGTATATCCATGGAAATTTGTAATATATTGATTAGCAAAAATTGTGCAATACAGCCAGTTTCTAGAGCAACTTTTGCATACATAATGCGGGTTTAGATGTAAGATCTGTACCACAACCTATCAGGCTCTTTGGCAACTATCCTTGGAGTCTAACCTGCCCAAGAAAATTTTAGAGAGCCTTTCAGGTATTTTACATGGAGGAAATCATGCTCTGGAAATTTGAGTGGAGGTGTTACATATTCTCCCAGAAGTCCATGTGCATTCCCCGCCACTCAGACGGTCATAATATGACTTGAAATAGCACAGGATGTAGTTGTTACCCAATACAGCTCATTAGGGAGCATGGATTTAGTCGAGAGAGGGCAATTATCTGGGGAAGTGACAAGCCAGAAAGCGTCAGTTAAGTATATTGCATTCCGGCATTGTAAATCCCCATAATTATATTTCAAACCTTTGTCAATCTCTTGTATACTATCCTAAGAAGTAGCATAGTTGTCTGAATTGTGCTGACCTCTACGTAGAGGAATGTTCTGGAGCACACTTTAGAGGGAACATGCAAGCAGTCCACCAAGGAAGGTGTGTATGCTTTGCCTTCTTTCTCCTGAGGTCCTGATCACAACTCTGTTGAACACTTGCAAGTTTTTTTGACTCATTAAGTGGAAAAGAGGGACCTTCAGTCTCTAGCCAAGAGTCGGCAGTGGAAGGCAATGTGACAGGAAGAATGCTGCCAAGATCCATTATTAGCTGGGCGAGAGATCGAGGCTAGCTGGTTTATTATAGCACCCATGCTTGGCCAGAATCATACGTATATGCATACTTATACCTGACCGCTATCGTATTTACAAGCTTGCGCCAGTCTGTCATAATCTGCCATGGTCTGGAAATCATGTTCTGGGCCGACTTCTCCTGCCCTGATCTTGCAAGTGCTTGCCTGCCAGGTAACACCTTCTAAACGTTGGCAGGCCTTGGAAGGATTTCCTTTTTTCGCTGATGGTAGAATCCCCTTGACTGTGAGATGATGTGCTACAGACGACAGCACCAGCCGACAATGTAGAGCGTGGCGCATATTATTCGAGTAGACAAATTTAGCTAAGGGCCTTTATAAATTGACTGACCATACTATCAATCTGCTAATAGTCGTGGAGGCCTTCGTTCTGATTAGAGAAGTAAGACATCGCATCGTTGGTCAAGCTGGAGGCCACCACCTGAAAAGGACAGTAAACGAGTAAAGGATCAAACTACTTCGCCTAAACGGACGGGCCTACGTCACACTCGAGCTCCATCAAGTCGTCCACAATGGTACAACAACCTCTACTTAACATTCCATTCAATCGTATGATACATCGCATTCGATGCGTTCCCGTCTACTTGACACATTATTTTCTATCGTAGATAGTAAAGGCGTGCAATTACAATGAGCAAAGGCGAACCATTCATACCAACGGATGATTAGTCGATGTCCATCTCTGGGGGACCGTTGTCCTGGTCGTTGTCCTGCGTCGGCTGTTGCTGGTTTTCGGGCTGGGGCTGGCCCTGACCTTCAGGCTTAGGGGTCTGCTGGCCGCTCGCAGGCTGATCGGTCTTTGGAGGCTTGGGTTTGGGACGGGTGAGGATCGGCGTCGCAAAGTAGATGATGTCGTCGCGCTTCTTGAGGACGTCTGCCGACTTGAGGACCGGCTCAACATTCTTCGGCCGCTCAGACTGCCGAGCGATTTGGTCCTCGAGCCACTGCTGGATTGTCGCACACTTCTCGACGACGGCCTGCTTGTCCTTCTCCTCGATGTGCGAGTACTTCTCGTCCGTGGACTGCGCCTGCGACATGTACTGGTTGATGGTCTCGCGTAGCTGGCTCACCACCTTTGACCGTTCCTCCGCCTCCTTGTAGCGGAACGTGATCGGATCGCCGGCCACCTTGAGAGCGTCCAGCTTCTCGACGTACACGGACTTCGTCGCATCCTCGCCCTCCTCCGAGTACAGCCACTCCTCGGCCTTCGAGAGCGCCGCCAACAGCTTCTCCTTCTCCTCGGCCTGCACGTACAAAGCGTAGCGGTCGTCCACCTTGCCGCGCATGTCGTAGATGTACTCCTCAAGCGCGTTCTTCCTGTCTTCGGTGTCCGCGATCAGCTTGTCCGCCGCCCACATCTCCGCCTCCTGCTGCCTGTACTGCTCAAGGACCGTCGAGTCCAGGCTCGTGGAGTGCCAGACGAACGGCACCGGGCTCTTCTTCAGCACCTTCTTCTTCTTCGGCGGCTCCTCCGCGCCATCGACAACCATCTCATCCTTCTCCTCGAGCTCCTCAGTGTACGCGGACTCGAAGGAGGTAACACCATGCAGGTTCAGGCGCGTCTTGACCTTCACGATGGTGAGGTCGCCGTTCGGGTTCGCCGGCACCTCCTTGCACGTGAAGCGTGCGACCCACGGGTTGATACCGCCAGGCAGCTTATCGGGCTCCAAGTACTCAGCCTGCAGGTCGAACGCTCCGTTGCGATAGAACGTCAGCGCTTTAGTCGACGGGATGCTGTTGCCCTTCGGGAACACGACAAGCTCAGTATCCTCATCGGGTTCGCTGGGCTGTTTGTCCCACTTGACTTTGATAGAGTACGGCGTGATGTCGTGAATGACGAAATCGCGGACGCGGAAGGTGGGAGAGAGCATTGCGCACGAGAGGGTTGCACCACGAGCGGCAGCCTCGTCCTGGTTGAGGGTGGTTGAGAGTGGCCTGCCTTGGAAGACCGCCTGGATCTTGTTGCGGACAGCAGGGATACGAGTACAGCCGCCGATGAGCTCGATCGCGTCAATTTGGTCTAGGATCAGACCAGAATCCGCGAGAGCCTGCTCGACAGGAGCAGTTACACGCTCGAGCACACTGTCAATGAGCCGCTCGTATTCCTCGCGAGTGAGGCGGCTCGAAACGTCAACATCGTTCATGATCGACTCGACATTGAGGGGCGCCTCCGCGTTCGCAGAAAGTACCTTCTTGATCTTGTCGCACCCTGCCGCGAGACGGAAGGTCGCTTTCGGGTTGGAGAGGACGTCAATCTTATACTTGGTCTTGAACTCTTCAGCAAAGTGCCGCACAAGAGCGTAGTCAATATCGCGACCGCCTACATGCCTCTCGTAAGCAGCAGCCTTGACTGTAAGCTGACCCTTGGCAAAGGCGACAACAGAGACCGACATCTGCGAGTGTCCGACATCGACGAAAACAATGTGGCGCGGGTTTTCGGGGTCTGGGAGGTCAGATTTTGTGATACCCCAGCCAAGGGCAACAGCGGTGTGGTCGTTGATCAAGCGAAGAACGTTGAGGTTGGCAATGGAAGCCGCATCAAGTACGGCTCGCCTCTGCGAGTCGGTGTACCAGCCAGGAACGGTAATGACGACGTCGCTCACACTCGCCTTGAGCTCATTGGAGGCAATATCGCGAAGCTTGCCGAAGTACGCGGCGGTAAGCTGGGTAGCAGAGAATGTGTGCTGTTCGCCGACGTATTGAAGCTATTTTTGGCATTAATAATTAAACTGTGAAAAAGTAAAGCAGAGTGCGTACCTGTGCACCGACAGTCCCGCCGACATCAACAAGGTTTACATGGGTGAATTTCCGCTCGACCTCCTCAATCTCGGGGTCAGAGATTGTTCTTCCGATGAGCCGTTTCAGAGATCCGACAGTGTTACGGAAGTTAGAGGTTTCTAAAGTCTTCGCAGCCTCACCGATAGAGCGCTGCTTGGAACCGAAAGAAACGAGGGATCTGGAGAGACCATGCTTTCAGTGACCACATATGTGGTCTCAAAATGATTTAACACATACGGTGTAGCACGATTCGAGACCTCGTTCGTGATAATGTCTATGCCACGGTGCCTTGCGACACCAATCTGAAGGAGTTGCACATCTTCTTCAGTATCTGACTTGTCCGATGAGCGTAACGGGTTACCTTAGAATGCAGAGTACCAAAATCGATACCGACAACGGCCATGATGCTTAGAGCGTATCAGAACGTGTCAGGTCGTGAGGGAAGGTGGTGGGGAGAGGAAAGTCGTAAAGCAGGCTGCAGCAGCTTTACGCGCCTCGCCAGCCTTTTTACGCGCCCGAAATTTGGGTGTGACAAGGCCTAATTCGATAAAGTTCTCGCTTGTTCTACCGCGTTCCAACATGCGTTTTCTGCATGCTTTCCTCGAGGCCTCTTCCCTGCATATCGATAGGCCACCCCTACGATAATATCCAGCTCTGGAGATGAATATACAAGGGCATCGCAAAACCTCGCAAGCATGCGACTCTCGAAGGCACACCAATGAAGATGCATTACAACGTCACAGTCACATGCCATGTGCGCTAAGCCATCTGCCCTAAAGTGCTTCGCGCTGACCTCAGGCAGGTGAAAACACAAGGAATGCGTGGAAATTTCTCGCACGACACAGGCATGACGCCACATGCAACTTGCCCACCGAAAGCGAGCTTACTAGCTTCCTTCGCAGTCTATAGGTGGCGAACTTGAACATTGTAGAATTTCCAGTACTGGTTGACGATAACACGGAAGCGGAATTGTGTGAAGGACGAAAGAGAGGATTTGCGTGCAAGAAGTCGGCAGGCGGACCGTCACCTCAGTCGTCGTCTGTCTCTATCCCTTTGCACGTCTGTCGCGACCGCCGCTCTGGAAGTCACTCGGGGACGACTCCTTGCGGTTGAAGCGGTTCATAGGCTTCGTAATCTCTCTAGCTGCCTCTAGAAGTCTTCGCTTTGCCATACGCCGCAAAATCGACCCCCAGCTCCACCGGTGAGATCTGAGACTTAGTCTTGCCTTCGGCCACGCCCGCGATGTTCTCTGTTGGTAACCGAGCAAGAGTAAAGCCGCACCAGGCGACTCACGGGCTGCTATATACTAGACAGATCGCGCTACTTAGTCACAACCGGGCAATCCCTCATCGACGTGTCATTGTTTGCAGGGTCCGTGTTGTCTAGCTACCGAGTAAGAAGCTCGCAACTACTGTGATCCTGTTCAACAAGAAGCTCATCCAGAATTTTTCCGAGATGATCCTTGCTATCTTCGTTGTCTGCACACTACGAGTGCTGGGGGATCACCCGTATCAGCCTGCGAAACTGTGGGGATAGCTCTGCGGAAATCTGATTGTGCCACCTGTCCACCAGCTCAGCCTCGCAAATCTCATCAAACACCAGCTCATCCAACGTCGGAAGGCAGCGATCAAGGCCCCGCTCGAGGTTGCGCCACGCTGGGCCTGAGGCGAAAAACTGCTCGAACCAATCAAGCCAGAAACAAATAGAGATCTTGCGAATGGAAGACGCGATGAACGGCAGGATGTTGTGGCAGAGGAAGTCGAATTGCCACTGCCCCCGGGAAGCAATCAGTTATTGGACGACATCCACACACAGTCAGTACACTTACAGCTTCGGCCAACCATAACTTCAGGCAGCGCAGTTCGGTGCATGTGGAGAGGGACGACAAACTGGTCGCAGACGCTGCGATACTTCTGTCAGCCGGTATGCATGGGGCCAAACGCCCAAACTCACGTCTACCGCCACTCCAGCCCATGAGGACGGAAAGATACTCGATTTTCGAGCCCGCGATGCGAAGGAAATCATCTAGGGCCTCAGCCATCTCCGCATAGCCGTCGAGGCGCCCATCAATCTGGACCGATCGGAGCGCATTCGGGTCGACGAGCGGCGCCAGCATCCGCAGGTTCCCCGCAAGCGACCGCTTGAACTTGAGCGACTCGATCTGCACACACGACGGATGGTGCAGGCTCTTGTACGGCATATGGCAGACGCATTGAATGAGCTCGAAGGTGCGCACGTGCTCGAAGTGAGCAAGCACCCAGGGCAGCTGGCGATCAATCATCGTGTCGAGCTGGAGTGTCTCTACACGATACCGTCGTAATGGCAGCGCCGGCGCCTTGTCTGTCGGTACGGCCCAGCCGTACCTGAGGCCAATGAAGGTAAGATGTGGGAAGACGTCGAACAGTTCCTGTAGCCACTGCACCGGCTCCGTGCCGATGTTCCAGGTGTTGAGGTTATCGATGCCGCGCAAGTAGAACGAGAGCCTTGGAGACGTCTTGGCGAATGCGAGGAACTTCAGGAAACGACGAGAGGAGATGCGTACTCTGTTAAACAGTAACATGGAGCTGCGAGGAAGCCAAGCGCGACAGACTACCGTACAAGCTGCGACAGTACGCCACTCGGCCAAATTCTGGGGAGATGAGATGTTGTCAAGGATGAGGTCAATTAGCTCCTGGGGGAGAGTTGGCGTAACGCAGTTCGTCGTTGATGGGCTTGTGTCCACACCATCCTCGAATGAGTGTATGGCTGAGTAGCTTTCAGGTGCGGGATATGCCATGCGTGCGGGCTAGAACGAGACATTAGGCGTTTATATATGTCAAACATCTTTCGCGGCTAAGACGTACGCTTAATGAGCAGTGGTAGTCTCCAGGCTGTGAGCAGCCTTATGTCTCATGGCTCGTCGCCAGTCTATATATCATCCTGTCCGTGTCTTCGGCAATATCCGGGGTAGCGAGCGAAGGACAGGCCATCCCTGATGCTAAGAGCGTGAAGGAGGGCTGAAGAACGCCATGCACTGCGGGCATATCTCGCAGAAGTTCCATATCTCCTGCAGAATCTGGCAGGTTCGGGCTACGCAGAGAGCTGATAACAAAAGCTCTAGCGGAAGAACCAGGGTTAGCAACAAATACAAGCGGAGAGCACTCATGCTACTCGCTGGCTACAGAACGAGTCGCCTACTTCCACATTGCGGGCTTGCTTGAACCGTCATAGAACCGCGAAGCAGCGATCGAGGGCTTGTCCGAAATTCGACCATGCGAGATCACCTGGAAGCCTGCCGTATGGATGTAATAGGACGCTTGCGTATCGCGGGCCTATAGTGGAAAGACAGGCGCGAGACATTCGTTCATTGGGCGGCGAGAATATGGAATAGGACTAGAACGATGCACACCATCAGCCAAGCTGAATTCAACGGAATGTAAAACCGCACATAAAGGCGAGTGTCATCAGCACATGATTAGGGGCCACGGGATGCTGCAGTCAGAGATGGGGGCTTCCTTGGACTTTGGTATCTCCAGTAGGCAGAAAATCCTCTAGCGCCACTACGACTTCCGAGTCGGATCGAGTCGGACACGTCACAAGTACGACCAGCGCACTCAATACAGAAGGGGTTCATGAGACGCAGGAATCTAATGATCAACCATTGAAGCATTCATGTCTACCGTTTCCACTTACCGCGGCCAATAGGAACATTATGCGATATCCGGAAGGACGACGCTCGCACGGTGGTGCAACTCGAGCAAGGTTCCCTGGTATCTCAAAATGTCAAGATGGCATCCTGCGGCAGGTTTAGTTACGGGGAAGCCAGGCGCAGATCAGGAGCATGCATGCGGCGGTGAGGGGCTCAATCTGTTCAACACGGCGGCCGAAATTACATGGAGAAGGCAACGTGGTCGGGATACGGAGCGAGTGTCGTGAGCCGCTGAGGAAAATGTTCCCCGATGTGTAATGATGTCTTGGTCTTCGACATCGTCGACGAAATTCACAGTCGCAATGACTCTCGACAGGGCCATTTCTTCCAAGCTATACCTGATAGGAGATCTAAGCCTAGCTGGAAATAAAACAAATAACCGTTGTCCTGGTCGGAAGACTATGTTGAACTTAAACCCGTTCACCGCCGCAAGAGGGTCGGATGTGACCGGTGACCAGTAACAGTCACACTCTCGGCATTTTCTTAGTAGACGAAGTAAGTCTGGGCTAGCAGATTTGCTTTGAGCAGGGTGCCTCATAACTCTTGCGCGTTGTAAGTAATGCGTGGTCAATACGAAGCTAGCGCAGGCATTCCAGCGATAATGGAGAAGGAAGGGAGAGTTGATTACCAGCGAACATCTCGCATCCAACTTTCCGTCCAATTATTCAAGATTTCATCGATGTATCAATCATTTGTACGTCGGAGTTAGGAGAGGCTGCGGATTATAGAATCACCCTCGACGAGGATGCAAGGTCCTCCATAGATGACTCTGTCCGCCAAATTTTCTTTGATGTATTTCACCACGGCCTCATCCTCAGCACCAGGTTGCAGCCAGAGGGCAGGGATCGAAAGAGCCTTCGCCTGCTCGAGAACTCCGAGGGTGACCTGCACAGATGGTGTCAGAAAGATTACGACTCATGGTGTGACAGCGTCTCGGCGCACCTTGGCAGGGGTGATGATGCTCACGGACGTCTTCGTGGGATCCGGAAGATCCGTCAGCGCGCGCAGAGCGGTGATCCCTTCGAGCTCGTCCTCTTTCTGCACGGCCGCAACAGTCGTGAGCACACAGGGCAGGGTCCAAGGCGTTACAGCTATACCGGATGTATAGGGGTCGCATCCTTGTCGCGCGCCAAATACCACTTGAGCACCTGTAATCGATATACTCACTTGAGCACTCATCTCGACAACCTGATGTAAGATACATTCTAACCTTGGTGCCGAACTTGGACTGGTCCTTGGACGCACCGACAACGGCGTACTTAGGAGCGGACAGAAATGCTTTCTTAATTTCCGCAGCGGCTGCCATCGTGGCGAGTGTATGAGGGCAAGGTCTAAATAGCATCCGACGGGCCTGTTCAGCGTTCGCACAATCCCGGGACGAAGCGGGTGGTTTGTCCAAGGGCGAAAAAAAATCGTCACCTGAGCGATTCGAACACTCGCGTGCAAAGCACAACCGCTAACAGCTACGAATAGCAGGCGATCCCGTTAACCACTCCGGCAAAGTGACAAGTATGGCTGTTGACGCATATAATTACATTACCTTCAATATAGATGCGCTTCTGTGATCTCAGCGACGGGAACTGGGCAGGATGTTATCGAACATCCAGGTGGATGGTTTCCTGGCCGTTGCCATTCTGTACGTTCCGGCTGGAATGGCAATGTTGACTGCCGTTGCGACCCCGGCAAGCCCGAACTGGGTGACACACCGGTCGATTGAGCTCACAATGTTATGGCATATTGCGAGCTGCTGCACCTCTTTACCACGGATTCATTTACCACGATAATATGCACGGCGGTAAGTGGTGGCTCGCGCCTCAAAATTGAGGATTGTCCAGGCCTAAGTTTGGAGGCTTCGCAAAAGACACGGTATCAATGGTAACAGAGCAAGCTCGGGCCGATATCTCGGATGTAGCAAGCTCGAGAATGTGGAACAATGTATGGGAAAAAATGTTCTAAAGCGTTTTGAGATACGCCGGCGGAGGCGCACGGCGCACTGTTCGTGCGGCGTCGCCTGACGTTCATAATTCGAGGAATAATGAATAACATTGACGTAAAGAGATAACAGAAAGCCTTGCTAGCGGTGTACCAAACCGTGCTATGTCATGGACCTGTCACGAACGGCTCGGGCAGAAGCGACCGACGGATGCAGAGCGCTTGCTATGGCCGGGCGAATTACTTAAAGTGGAAAAATTGTTTGCTTCTGTTTGGCGCTCTGATCAACAATTTGGATGGGCGCTTATTGTCGTTATCCCTCCCACCTCCTCCTTTCCTCACCGTCTCAGTACTCACCGACCCCCTCTCGCTCGTTTGTTCGTTGCTCGCTTTGTTAGATCTATCAGAACTTAATCTTTCCCTTCAGCTTTATTTGTCATTTCGCCATGGGTTGTGTGCAGTCTACAGGTGTCGACGAGGAGGCCAAAGCTCGTATGTTGTGTTCCTCTCGGTTCCCGAGTTATCGCTCATTCCGCGCACTTAGGCAACGACGAGATCGAGAATCAGCTGAAGAGGGATCGCGCCATGGCAAAGAATGAGATTAAGATGTTGCTGCTCGGTGCTGGAGAGTCGGGCAAGGTGCGTCGACAAACCCTTTCCTAAAGCGAATGTGGACTGAGCTCGAGCTCAAAACGCAGTCAACCGTCCTCAAGCAGATGAAGCTCATCCACAATGGTGGGTACAATGACGCGGAGCGTGATCAATACAGGGAGATCATCTACTCCAACACCATCCAATCCATGCGGTGCGTCTACTTATTCCCGCTTTGGTTTAGTCGATACGCTTGTCGGACTTGTCTGACCTGTTCTACAGTGCCATTCTTGACGCTATGCCCCAACTGGACATTCAGTTGAATCCCCAGAATGATGCTCGCCGGTCGATCATTCTCGGTCTACACGGAAATCTTGACGTCGACGTTCTGCCAGCCGATGTCGCCGATGCTATCCGTGGGCTCTGGCAGGATTCTGGCGTGCGGGAAGCCGTCAGCAGGTCAAGAGAGTTCCAACTTAACGACTCCGCTGTGTACTACTTCAACATGATCGACCGCATGGCCGCGTCAGACTACATGCCAACGGACCAGGACATCCTCCGCTCGCGAGTAAAGACAACTGGCATCACCGAGACAACGTTCAAGGTTGGCGAGCTAACATACAAGCTCTTTGACGTTGGTGGCCAACGGTCAGAGCGTAAGAAGTGGATCCACTGTTTTGAGAACGTCACCGCGTTGGTGTTCCTGGTCAGTTTGAGCGAGTACGATCAGATGCTTTACGAGGATGAGAGCGTCGTAAGTAGCGCTATGATCTTCACACCTGTGGTCCGCTGATTATTCTCCTAGAACCGTATGCAAGAAGCATTGACACTTTTCGACTCAATATGTAACTCGCGGTGGTTCGTCAAAACTTCCATTGTAAGCTTGCGCGCGTCGTCACGCATCGGTAGTATCATTCTGACTCATGCTTCGCGCAGATTCTGTTCCTGAACAAGATCGACCTGTTCGCTGAGAAGCTGCCAAAATCACCACTCGGCGACTACTTCCCGGACTACACCGGCGGAGACAGCTACGATGCGGCTTGTGCATACCTCCTGAACCGTTTCGTCTCGCTCAATCAGAGCGCAGCAACGAAACAGATCTATGCACACTACACATGTGCAACAGACACCAACCAGATCAAATGTATGTCACTTGTCCCGTGTTACATACTTGTCGCTCATCGCACGTACGTTTGATCCCAACAGTCGTGCTGAGCGCGATTCAGGACATATTGCTCCAGCTACATCTTCGGGAATGCGGTCTTCTATAGGCGGCGCCCAGATGTGCCTTTCGTCGATGCTCCGCCGTAACCGATGCGAGCGGAGGGTTTCAGCACACATGCACTATCTAACGATTATATTCCCTGTGTAATGCGGAACTCTGTTACGCACCGCTCCTCCGAATACTGTACGCCCACTATCCGAGAGGCGTCTCTTGCGCCCACGCCGTCGGTGTTCCGCCAGTCCTGCAACTGTCGCCTCCTTCCCTGGCGCTTACGCATATCCTGGATTTCTCTGTCCGTCATTTTTGTCGATATCATCCTCTCTTCGTCGGCTTTTCGTGTTCGCCATCTTTATGTTCCTTTATAACTTTCTCTGTTCGATGGTTATTACCCGGCCTTCCTCCTTGTCTTAATACTTAATTTTGCACCCATGCTGTTGTCTGGTACCTTACACAATATATACCAACTACTCCTTACCCCCTTCCTGTTTCCGTTACGGTGCTTATGAACAATGGAAATAAATTTACCCTCTGTACCTTCCGCGATGCCTTCGTCCGCGTTGGCGTTCCTTCCTCTGATACTTTGGATGTCTAGTGGGGCAGACACGGGCCACACGGCAAAAGATGAGCATCATCATGGGGCCGCGTCATTCATTTCTTGACATACTTATCACCTCTGACAGGTTTTACGTCCTTCGCGTCGCTCTTTGCATGCACGCCGGACTGTGGCGGGCGTGGCGCTACACCGCTCTATTCCCTCTGTCAACCGCGCGTCCCGCTGCCGTGCACGCCTTGCATGATGTGACCTGCGTTTTCCTGACTTGAGACGACAGGTTGGTACAGCCTCGCGCGTCCATATCCCGAGGTTCATCGGAGGTGCTACAAATGTCGGGACGACATCTTTACAGCGGCTCTATCAGAGATCAATCAGAGCATCTGCGGCGCGTTGTTTCCCCTCGCAAGGCAGCGTCGGACTGCTGTACCTGTGGTGCTTTCATTGCAGCAGCGTGCCGCTCCGTCGAGATGTTCTTCCGACGGTATGTATAATGCTGGGTTGTTCTTGAGTCAGAGCTGATTGTCTCTTCGTCAAGATATCGGGGGCGCGTCGCGCTCGTGGCTCAACGGCTTGCGAACTCCACGGCGAGCAACTTACGCGCTACGCACGACTCTCGGGGCCGCTCACCCGCCCGTATAGAAAGTCGGACGCCTTGCGAAGGAAAGGCGGTGTGGCGCAACGAGACGAGCACACTAGAGCCCCCCCTCCCCGTGAGCAAGGGACCGCCGCGTCCGGTTGCGCACTATGGGAGACGCTGACAGACGAATCACGGTTCACGGCGGCGTCTGTGCGTCGCGAATACACCGGTGTCAGGCTTCGCTGCCATTTCGGCGTTTGTCGAGGGTGCGGCGGACGGAGATACGCATGGAGTTCCGCGTCCTCGGTTCCGACAAACTTTGAAACGTCATTAGCAACTCAAGAAGAGTTCGTGAAAACCGGATTACGACTGCACCGGCGGCAGTGTGAGTCTTCATCGTGACGTACCCGGCGACCACTTGTTGTATGAGGCGCATCATCAATGCGAGTTCCGATCACCTAATGTCCAATGGCAAGGGCACTGCCAGATGTGCAGTGCAGATGCATAACGTCCTTGACTGACTGTTTCCGTTTACAGACTTAAATTCCTGATAAAGATTTCCGGTGTACTAGGAAGCATACGCGCGGCG